GAGAGAGAGAGAGAGAGAGAGAGAGAGAGAGAGAGAGAGAGCTCGACTCTGCTCCGCCTGCCAATTCCTTTCCGTGCACAAAGACCAGCATGGAAAATCCCGACATCGCTGCCTTGAGAAAACAAACGCGGATCTGAAAAGCCAATGTGCCGAGCTCAGTTGGCACACCGGTGAACTGTTGAAATACTGGCGTGACTCCGCGTGAGGTCAAATCCTCCTTGAATATTATCTAGGCCCCCTCAGTCAGGCCCCGCTGCGTCACGCCACTTACCAAATGAAAACCTGAAAAAGCTAATCCATTGAAGGCCTCATGGCACCACTCACCAAATGTGAAAGGCCGAAAAACGAGAAGATCGAAAACGACAACAAATGAAAGAACGGCCTTCGCGGTTCAAATTTTCTCGCGGCCTGTCGCCAACACTTTTCGATACGCGTTTCCCGGGACACCGTTGATAGACCCCAGTACCGGGGCGACCGTCACTAGACCCCAGGAAACACGCTGCTTATCCAACGACCCATTGGACAGATGAGTAGCATTTCGTCGGCACCCATCCTGGCCAGAAGACCTTCAATAGAACGTAGTAGATAGTAGATGAAAAAATGTTGAAAAGAAGGGGAAAAAATGCACTCAGTGATAATTCGAGAAAGGTTGTTATAAGGGCGGCCTAGATGGGCTCTAGCAGTGGATTGGCTCTAGCAGTGTGGGTACCCACTGGGCGCGGCCGACCAGGTGTGGTCTGGGTGGGATCTCAGGCAAGAGTCCCAGTGCAAAGTCACAAACTATTGAAAAAGAAGAATTTTCTCTTCTTTTAAATCCGGAAAAGCATGTCCTTCGGGACATCCGTTAAAATTGGAACGATACAGAGAAAGAAGATTAGCATGGCCCCTGCGCAAGGATGACACGCATAAATCAAGAAATGATCCAAATAAAAAAATAATTAAAAAAAATCTGGAATAGCATTTGCTGTGAAATTGCAATACAAGCAAAGTTCGGTTGAGGGTTGCCTGACTCGCCTCAAAATTCCTTACTCATCTAGGCTACCAGAGTGGCCCGGGGTCACTTGCCCGACCGGTCCAGAAACAATAAAAACAGAATAAAAAATATTTTTCAATTTTTTTTTTTTCTAAATTTGGTGCAGAATTTCGATGTGACCCTGAGGCAAAAGTTGTTCAGTTTATTTTTCTTTAGTTTTTTTTCGGAATTTTTTGATTTTTTTTTTTTTTTTTTTTTTTTTTGCGGGTACCTTCCCTGGTCCTTGCACGGGCTGGCCACCCGGGACCCAGGCGGCCCGGCTGGTAGCCTAGTTACTCATCTGAAATTCCGAGATAAATATAAAATAGAAAATGAGAGTAGAGGCAATGCTGGGTAATGGCCACAGTATATTCTGGGTTGTTTGTTAGGATTCCTGGTCTCGTTTGTTCAAAGTGGAACAATACAAGTCGTACTTCTTCCAAAAAAAAAAAAAGAAAAAAAAAAAAGGAAACGAGTAGGGGTGGGGCACCCAGCGCAGAGAATACTATGGGGGGATACTTGAACCATTTCCCATGGTAGGCTCGGCCCGGTTTCAGATGTACCACTTCGAACCCCCTTTAGGCGTAAGATGAAGGGCAACAAAGAAAATCAGGAAGGGGCCAAAGGGCATACGCAGGCGCAACAGGGGAGGCTTGGACGGTACAGACACCAGAGCCATCTGACGGCCATACAGTGGCTGAAGAGGCGGTCCCCAGCCCAGCAACAGACATCCATGACAGCTCAATCATAGAGTACCGCACATTCTGCATGATTTACATTCTGTAAGGGACGCCGGACCCAATTTCCAGCAGGTGTTGCTCCCGACCAATATATTGGAGCCACCCTCCAGGTAGGCTACCGTCTTCCCCCGAACACAACGCACCCTCATTTTGACCGTATCGGGCCGGAAACATGCCTTGCATACGTTCATTTTCAGGGTGCGTTATGTTCGGGGGAAGACGGTAGCAGGGGCTGCTCTCTTATCACCACTGCTAGCCTGCCCAGAGGTAAGTGTTTTGGTTAAATAAGAAGGGGAAAAAAAAAACTTCGCCCATTTTAACCCCATCTAAACCTGTTCATACCCCCAAAACTCCTCTGAGAGACCCATCACTAATTGGAAGATCAGGTCAGATTCCGACTGCTCAGGCCACAAACAATCCTGGGCCAAAGTTCAAAAGTTCCTTTTTGAATGATTGCACCACTTTTGCCCTACCTGGCTTTCCGCGCAGGTTCCCCCCTGCCCTGCCTGGCGCAAGCATGTCCTACGGGCAGGCAGACAAGCTACCGTCTTCACCTGAACAGAACTCACAGTCACTTCCGCTGTACTTGGGGCACCTGTCAGTGTCGATACGGCGATAACGACCATGCGTGCTGTTCAGGAGAAGAAGGTAGGATCCAATAGGTTTGTGCGAAACTCGACGACGAAGAGGATGGAATGGAGGAGCTTCAGCGGAGGTGTACTGTGAAGGATCGGGCCAGAATACAATTTGGAATGCGGAGCCACAGGACTACCCAAGGAAAAAGTATTGATAGCAATTCCCAGGAAAGAGTACTTCCCCCCCCAAAAAGACAGCGGGAAAAAAGGGAAAGGAGTTCTCACTTGATCAAAGTGGCAAAATGTGGGTTCTCAAACCCAAGCAGCTTTTCAGCAAAGAGAGGAACAGAGTGCCAATCCCTGCAGAACAAGATGAAAGCATGCCCCACGCCCCACCCCATGCCGCACCAAAAAGAGAAACAAGAGGAAAGAATCAGTATGTCCAGCACGCAAAATGGACCACAAAAAAAAAAACAAAAAAAAAAACATACAGACAAGGGTCTGGACCAAGGGGTGTACTCCGCTCTCCCAACCCAGCCCATGTAGCCGAATGGTACACACAAGTAACTGCTAATAAAATGGGGTCGATGAGCCAGTGTTGCACCCCCCGACGGTCAACGGCCCTCGACTGGTCGGCTGCCGACCCGCTGACCGATTGGCTGGTCGGCAAGGTTTTTTGTTTGGGGGGGGGTCTAGAACCCCTAATAACACCATCAAGGTCCCCATAAC